CTGAGGCCAGTTCCTCCTGGCACTCTTAATCATGTGGCATTTGTTAAACCAGGATGTTCTTTATTAGTTCCTTCTTACCTTGTCTCCTGGGCTTTAGTCAGGAAAGGAGAATCATCCTGTCTAAGCCAAGTTTCTAAAATTAGTAATTATTTACACTATTTATTGTTGTCTGACTTCCCAGACTTTTCACACATTGTGTGTGTCCTCCCCTGGGATGGGGCAAGCAAGAGGGCACCCATAACCACTGCTTGTACCTTTCAGCCTGAATTTCAAGGACCCTGAGGCTGTGAGAGCTCTGACATGTACCCTCCTGAAAGAGGATTTCGGGCTTACGATTGACATCCCTGTGGAGAGGCTCATTCCTACCGTTCCCTTGAGGCTGAACTACATCCACTGGGTGGAGGATCTCATTGGTCACCAGGATGCTGACAAGCAAGTCCTTAGACGAGGCATTGACATAGGTACTTGAAAAGGCAAAACTTTCAATTTGTTATTTGCTGTCAATGAAACTAGCTGGTAAAATTTGTTACACGCCCAATAGAGAAACATGGAGTTGGAGAAACAAAAAGATCTGAACTGTCTGCTGTGGTGAAATGGGCAATCTGACTCCTTTGGTATTTTATTTGGCTGCTTGGTGGGTAGGATTTCCCTGCACAGTCACAAGTATGGCCAGAGAAAGCAATTATTTGTCTTTTCATGGCCTTGAATTCTCTCAACATAGTTTTGTCTGGTATACAAAAATTACACAGCTAGTAATACAGGCATAAACATAATTCTAAAGGAATTAAAAAAAAATATAGTATTTCTTCTCAGTCTTCTAATCAGGCAATTATAATAGCAATCTATTTTTCCCTTTGGGTGCTTGCACAAGAATTTGTGTGCTGCATAGCAATATTTTCTAGTGTTCCTTTTAATAAAATTTCTTCTGTGGTTTCAGCTCTATTTGACAGATGAATGACCTGTCTTTTTTGAACTATTTTTTTGTCTTTTTTTAATGCAGCTATTTTTATGAGCTATATTGCAAAAAAGACTTAATTAGAAACTGAGGCAAATACTTGAAAAACTGTCTTTTGGTTGTAGGTGGTCAAAGACTTCTTGTATGTTGTTGAAAACAATATTTTTTAAAGTGAACTAAACATTGATACTGTCTAGTGCACAAGTCTGTGAGCCTTGCAGGCTGCTCATTTTCCATATCTGGATTATTGGGTTGTATCTGGACAATATCTGGATTAAGCAGTAGATAAAAGTAAACAGTTATTCAGTAGAGATATGAATTTATAACTGATGCACATATTTGGGTTTTCATGAGCAATAAAAAAAAAGGCAAGCTCTGTAGGAGGAAGAAACTACATTCTACATGCAGATTTGGATTCCAGTCTCTTTGGTGATTCTGTATGGAATATTCCAAAGGCACCTGCGATGTTACATTTGAATTTAGTTGACATCTTTTATTTTTGTTAATATAATCTTCCTTTATGATTCCAAAGGCTTGTTTTTGGAGATTGTTTTGTGGTGAAATAAATGCATAAAGAAATTGAGAGAAGGTGGAATTTCCTTTCTAATTGTGTTTTAATGCTTGGCGTTAAAACTCTGAAGTTCCTGACATCAAAGCTTGGGTTGGGTAATCTCAAGTGACCACGCCAGTTATTCCATTACTGTTTTCTTGGTGATTGCTGGCATGATGTTTTTTTTTAAATGGAGTTTTTGGTATCTTGAAATTTACTGGCTTGCTTTTTTAGCTGGATTTGTGATGGCTACAAGGTTTGTATCATCATGGGGCGTATGCATAGCTGCTTTCTTTTCGTAACTTTTCCACTTGTTAGCCAGGTTCTGTTCATTTGATGTTAGGTTGCATTTTTGAATACAGTTTCTATGAACAAGGTAGGTGGCTAGGTAGAAGAGTCAGATGCTCAAGTGCTACAGATAATGAAAACTCATTAGTTTGAGTTTGCAGGAAGCATTGATGTTCCAGCTCTGGGAAAGCAGTAAGTCATCCAAGAGGAGCATTACAGGAGTGCTGGAAATAACTGCATGCTTTTATGTTCCAGTAGGTCAGTAGGCTCTTAATATATCTGTGAATTCAAGATTAGTGGTGGTGAGATATCTTTCCCTCTTCTCGTATCCATTCCCTTTAATGCTAGATTTGGCTGTCATTGGTAATTCGATCACCTAGACATGCCATAATTATGAGAGAGAACTACTTGTGTGCTTGCTTGCATTTCTTTGTTATCAAATTTTTGTCTGTCTGGATATCTTTTTACATATCTTAATTGGTACTTCTGTTTCTTCGGTCGTTCTGGGCATTAGGAAGAGACAGTCTGATGGAACAGAAATGTTGTTGGTGTGGGGCTGTTGGGTTGCTTTTTGTGGTTGCTTTGTGCGTCAAAGTAAATTATTTGTGGTAGATAATAGAAAAATGCAGAAGAAAAATATATTTGTGATCTGGTTTTGCAGCGGGGAAAAAAACCCTCTAATATAGTTGGCTTTCACTAGATGAATTAATTGTCCTATAGGGAAAAAAAAAAGCTTAAGAAAGAAGCTTATCATTTCCTAGAAAATTTTTGCCAGATTATTAAATTCTTTACAACTAAAAGTGTATATTTGATAATGCTCTGTTTCAGAGTGAGAAATCAAGTTCACTAAACAGCTAGCTAGCAGTTGACCGGTAGTCAATGTTTTTTTTGAAATTAGTTCTTTTTATTGAAAAAAGTGGATGTTTAACATCCACAGTGCATATAAGCCTAGAGACCTGTTTTGCCTTTCTTATGGCCTTTCACTTCTGCAGGGACAGGGGCATCTTGCATCTACCCGTTGCTGGGAGCCACTTTGAACGGCTGGTATTTCCTCGCAACAGAAGTGGATGACATGTGCTTCAATTATGCCAAGAAGAATGTGGAACAGAACAACTTGTCTGATCTTATAAAAGGTACGATGTGATCAGGTGTTGGTAGCATGCAAATGTTGTGACCTGTTTTTGCCATGTTCAGTGGCATATCAGAATCTGTATTCCTGCCAAATACACGCTCAGTTGTTTTTACTGGAGCAGAATGTTTACAAAGTTCTATGTATGTGTAAGTCAGGAAGTCACAGCTTCTATAGAATGGGATGTGTGGAGAGAGAACTACTCATAGTTAAAAAAATTTGATAGTTAAACTTTACTCTGGGGTGTTTTCCTTTCTCTATGTTTTGTGTCTGTTACTGAAGCATTATAGAGTTCACTCTGTTTCTGCTGCTAGGAGACCTGGAGTCCTTCCCTCATAATTTGCATGACCCCGCAATGTACACCTGTCCTTGTACAGAGAGAGTCCTCCCTCCTCGTTTCTGCATTAGGTCCTAACAGTGCCTGTGCTAGTACCAGTGTGCCAGACTTGGTCTGTGGATGACCTTGGAAAATTTTCTGTGGGAACTCGGTACGCTAAAAAGCAGGTCCATTATTCATCTCTGAAATAAAGACTTGACTTCTGCTGGATTTTGAAAGTATCCTTTTAACCAAAGTGTTGTCTTTGTCTGTCCTCCACATCAGTCTTAAAGATCCAGAACTTGATGTGGAGAACAATGGCAGTTTTGTGTTTCTGCTGCCATCACAAGATTTTTACTGGTGTGGTGGTGTTTCACTATACTGGAAAAACCTCTGGCATAGGAAGATGCCTCATATGAAGCTGTAGTGCCAAAGGTGATCAGCTGGAGTGAATGAGTGATTGCTGGTGGGCAGAGCTGTGGGTAAGGGGGTACCACCGGTGGTACTAGTAGCCAGACGCTGCCTGGGAATGATGTACCCTGCCACTTTGTAACTCTGGGGCCTGAACTGTGTAGCTCGAGCTGAGTATACTACTATAGCTAGTAACTTGTTTAGCAAGGCATTTTGGGGTCAAATTAGAAATCTTTCTGTACCTTTTTTTTTTTTTTAAAAAAAAAAGCCAAAACAAACAACAAACAGCCCAGGCTTTTTTTTTGTTGTTGTTGTGTTCTAAGAATCTATCTTGAAATTTTTGCCAAATAGCTTCATTTGAAGATCATGTTAGGAATGTAGCCTTTGTTCTTTCAATGAAAAAAAATTAAATTAGGTGATTGTAAAAACAGCAGTAAGGTAGTGATGATTTACTGATTGGCATCATGGCTGCTTTTTTCACAGATGAAAACCAAGTGTTGTGTTTTGTCTGAAAGTGAAATACTGCTTTCAGTAACTTTCTTCCAAAGGGATATCTATATGTGCAAACCAGAAACTGATAAACCTGAGGAGTGATTATAAATGCTAAAAAAAGACATGATGTTCTCAGTTGTGTATCTGTTTTACTGGAATGGGACAACGGCCAGAATTCGTTGACTGGTATTTAAAATAAAATGCAATAAAATAAAACAAAAATATCAGTGCCCTATATGTAGTGATAGGTTAAGAGATTTTCAGCATCCTGGGACTCAAGGTTTCAAACTACTTGCATGGTAATTTAGGCTTGGCTGTGACATTAATATCCTTGTTTGTTTTATTTACTTCTGAATAAAATCACATATGGCAAATTAAAGGTATATCAGTTAAACTAGCTGTATGCAGGTGGAGTGTGGTGTTCTTTGGTGTCATCTTCTGAGTAAATTTACAGCAATTTTAAAAAGTATGTGTGATAGACCATGTGTTACTGCTCTGATGAACATAACCTTTTTGCAGAGTTCTGCTCATCTTAGCCTTGTCTGTTTTCTTTAATACAAAACCTAATTCCATGGGTTTTTTTCCCCTTCCACCCTCCCCCCTCTCCCCAAAAATTGAAAAGGGTGTTGCTAACAAGGAAGGTAGTAAAATACTCTGACAGCTGTGGCCTGGATATTTAAAAACATTTATGGAAGTAAATGTCTCCTCTGTGTGCAAGAGCAAGTGCTCTGCTACACCTCAGTGCCAAAAGCTTGTGCTGAGCAGCTTCTGGAACTACATGCAGTGGTTCCTTGGAAGACTCTAACCTAAAACCCATCAATCCAACTTAAGTAATGCCTGGCTGAAGAACTTCTAGCTTTCACTGATGTGTAATTGTAATTAGTAATTTCTATTTAGTAATTTCTAAGTAGGAATTACTAATTTTTTAGTTTATAAATTTTTTTTTTTTTAATGTTATAAGGGAAGCAGGAGAACAGACACCTATAGAGAAAAGAAAGCGTCACACTAATGTCAACAACTTAATGTAGGGAGAAATGCTAAGTGTTTAATATATAAATTTAGGATTATAAAACAGGGAGCACTATGTTAATGTATTTTTAAAATGAACTATGCTTCTGTTCTCATAGTATTAAAAATGAGTTTATCTCTTGACGATACTTTTTTGTGTTCTGAAATGCTTGTGACTATGGAACTACAGCTTTGAAGTTAATGGGTATTCTAGCTATTATTCTTGCTATATGTAACCTCAACTTTGCTAATTGCCAGCTACCCTAACAATTTTAGGTTCTTGGCATAATGATACACTGTACCAGTAGTAAATGTGGAGAAGAGATGCATGCCTTCTGCCTCTGTTCTAAACAGCTGCATTCTGTGTGCATTATCCATGATAATGTTGCAGGAGTGGTAATGCCTGCAAGAAATTCCACTTTTAATAATCTTTATACATGCTTCAACTGGACCTCATCCATATTTGAATGCCTGCTACTTGGGCTGGAGTTCCTGTGGTCTTCAGAAGATGCATGACAGGATTTGTCCCACAGTTTCCAAGGGTATATTATACAGCCTTTGGGGAAAGACAGTGGAGATCTATGTGGGATGTTTGCCATCATCCCTGTGATGAGTAATAGTAAATTGGTGGACCCAAGTAAGCAGGATGTTAGTCCAGAAAGGAACTCTAATCTTTTTCTTTCATTGTGATTTTTCTAAATTGTGTAAGGCGGTAGTTCTTGTGCAGGATGCATAACATTGCTAACATAGTAATTCTGTTTTATTATAAGATAGATGTAAAACTGATCTTGGTGCTGTGTAACTTCAGTGAAGATAGCTTTATCCTAGCCTTTCTGTGTCTTAGCTTTACACTTTAGAAAGACCAAACAGTACATTTTCTTGAGTACCATTCTGGAATACCATATCTTTAAAAAGTTTTTTAGTCTGGGATTTCTCTACCTTTGAGGAGCCTGTGGGGTAACTAACTGACACTTGTGTTAATTTTTGGAATGGTTTCAAGTGTATTTGTACTTGCATCAGAGAACTCAGTATAAACCAAGCAGTTCCTGTTGTTTTAAGTAGACACATGTAATTCTACTGCGTCTGAACGTGAGAGCTGTTTGTATCCCAGTCCTCAACTTGAAATCTTAGTTTGCGTGCTGATATTTGTTACAATTTTTTAGTAGAAAGTATTGTTTCAAAAGTACAGGTTTTATACAGTGTTTTGTTTCAAGAAACAGTGAAAAGTAGATGGTATCCCAGATAAAATATGAAGTTTCTTGCTGACCAAATTCCTGTTTTCTGCTAGTGGTTAAGGTACCACAGAAGACTCTTCTAATGGATGCACTGAAAGAAGAATCTGAGATCGTTTATGATTTCTGCATGTGCAACCCTCCCTTTTTTGCCAACCAGTTGGAAGCCAAGGTAAGTTTTAACAAACCAAATGCTGCAGGTACTTCAGTGTTCAGTGAGTGGGATGGTAGCAACAATTTAACCTTTTCCTTTGGGGAATGTTGAGTGGAAAATCCCAAATCATTATGAAAGACCATTTAAGTCTTCTCCCTCCCCAGCTGCCACCTTAAAGGAGTTTTGAAAAACCTGTTACCCTTCCTAAAGGGGAGGATGACCTGTAGGATATTTTCACAAGTTCTTACTGCCTTAGAGAATTAGTTTGGAAAGTAGACAGTTAGTTAAATCAAGTGTCTGTTGTGTAACAGTGGTATAGAGAAATAATTTCTGGCATTGTGCCTGCCTGTATTTTTTGTTTCCTTAGTGATTTGGGCAATATTATAGAGCTCAGAACAGTTCTTACAATATCCCCTGAATATAGTCAGAAACCTAACTCTATAATATAGAGAGCAGTAGAAGGAAGGTTTAAGTGTTGAAATTAAATGCTATAGATGACAATTGTGTAGATGCACGTAACCAGTATGTCTTATATGTCTTGGAACCATGTGTTTCATATGAGCAAGATGCTCATGTGTGACAAGTACCCATTAGAGATTGAGGCAGGAAGCAGTGTACAAAGAAGCTTAGCATTTAATTAGATGTTCATCTCAAATGTTTCCTTTTATCCAGGGAGTGAATTCTCGAAATCCACGGCGTCCCCCTCCCAGTTCTGTAAATACAGGAGGGATCACAGAAATCATGGCTGAGGGGGGAGAACTAGAATTTGTCAAACGAATTATTCATGATAGTCTACAACTTAAAAAGATGTTACGGTAAGTGCTTTGATACAGTCTTAATAAAAATCCACCTTTTGTCTACTTCTTTGGCAGAAATTATGTGAAACTGTTTATAAGTAAGGAATGTTGCTGTGGTCCAGTGGTATCTGTTTGGTTTGTTGAATGATATGTACACATCAGTAATTAGTTAATTTAAAATTAGTTGTTCCTGAGCATCAAACAGTTACAACTCATTGTTGGAGATATTTAAAGGTAGAGGGAAAAAAAAAGCCTTTACAAGTGACACTTGTAGCTAAATTAGCACACACTTGCTGACGACAGTCAGGGTTGATTCTTAATGGGCTTCTGGGGTGGGGGAAGATTTATGACATTGCCTAGTTTAACTGATCATTATCTAAAAATTTCTACCTTTTCCCAGCTGAATTTTGGTAACTTGCAGCTTTGCATACTGAAGAGCTCTGTTATATTGAATGCTGTTTTGGGTGAACGTAAGCTGCAATAAAAACCATAGCAAGACCTTCTTTTGATGATAAACAGATGGCACATCTTCAGTTTTTTGACTGTCAGACTTTCCCTCCCCCAGTGCTTTACATTATTCATCTAGGCCTTCTGGAAGATTCTTTTTTTTCATATCCTTCTAAAATGCAGATGCCAAAATTTCATGTGTATATTAGCACAGCTTCATCAGTGCTGTAAGCAAAGGAAAGACAGCCTGCCTTTTATACATTCAAGAGGTGCTTTGCTCTAGTTTTGATTTAGACCCTTCTAGGCAAAGCATTGCATTAGAACCTCATCACCTGTCTAATAACAAAATTTTTCTTTAGAATGTTTGATTTCTAGTAGTGGGCCTGAAAAAATTAAGAATGTGTTCCATTTTTGGAAGAAAGCAGGACAAAGCAAAAGTGCATTTGGCTCTGTCAGAAGTGCTTTTGTCTTGTGCTTTGAAGAAAAAAAATCCAGGAGGTTTGAAGAGGTTGCAGTTTTTCAAACCTTGATATTCTGTAGTTCTGCTTTTGAACACAAATGATTGTCAACAGCTGAATATTGCTTTTTATTCTGATGCATTTTCCAAAGAAGCTGAAACAAATTACTGTAAGGGGTAACATCTTCCACATAACTAAAGTCACCCTTTGAACAGGATTATTGGTTATTTAGGCACTGTTTCAATAACAGACTTCATGTATTTCCTAAAAACTTGAAAAGATTCCCCTGCCCAGCCTGCCTTTGGGCCTTCTGTTTTGATTCATGTTGTGCTGTGTCCTGGTCTCTTTGTTTAAGAGTGTGATTATTTTGTTGTTGTTTTGTTTTTATGTCTCCTATTGTTCTTGCAGCTTTCTGATCCAAGTAGTTCTTTCTGGTGCTTGCCATTTTCAGTTGATCTGCATCTGTAAAATGCTTTGTTGATGTGTTGTTTGCAGATGGTACAGTTGCATGTTGGGGAAGAAGTGCAGTTTAGCACCATTGAAAGAGGAACTTCGAATCCAGGGGGTGAGTTTCTATATAGTCCATGTATATCTGGTATACGTTCCATACTATATATACTGTCTTCTGATGTGTGTGGGTAATTATTGAACTATTTTACTGAGTTTTTATTTACAAGAAGAAACTGTAATTCCTTGTTAGGGAGGCACTCAAAGCAGTTGACATTTAATTATTGCAGATGCAAAGCTGATAGATAAGTAGCACTTACCGTCGACAGATTTTTGTCTTTATCCATTCTAGAACACAGAGAGTTTCTGTCTCAAAGTAGCCTTAATGGGGCTGTTTAAAAAATATATAAAAAATTTCTAGCTCTCTTTCCTTTTAGCTAATATGAAATCTAAGGCTTTGATTGATAAAAGACATTGTAACATTATTTAAATGGCAGCATTGTTTTGCTCATGTTCAATACTGGCACCAAGTAAAATTGAACCTTGTGCTACTATTCTCATGCAAGAAGGCTGTACAGAGGAGCTTTTTATGGTTTTCTGGAAGAAGCTAGTCTTGTCTAACTTACATACAAAGAAGGCAATTAGGAGATCTGTCCTTGTGTGAGATGGGGAGGTGAAGGGAAAAGAATGCATGGTGAAATCAGTTCCCAGAAGGATGAACTACAGGCCATATGGAATTCTTAAACTCAATGCCAAAACCTAAGCATCAAGCTTCAAGTAGCTGACCTTATTCCCTGTCCTTGAACTGCCACACCTGAGTAGGTGAGAGAAATCCCTGCAAACCTTGCAGAGAAAAGCTGAGTTTTCCTTTTGCATTTTTCTTGAAATTACCAATTTAGTTTTGTTCAAGATTGTAATCTTTGTTATAACAGAGCTGGGAAATGTGTTCATTGTAACCAAGCACAGCTGTTGTGGTTCAGGTTAGGACAAAGTGTAAATATTCCAAAAAGTCCACCTGTTGTTCAGACTGTCTTGACATTTGCTGTATTTATTGAAAATGTTGATAGAATTAGGAATATAAAGGGAGGAGATGTTACAGGATAAAGACATCTTTTCTTTCTTACTTGGAAGGGATTTCCCTAAAATAAGATGCTCTCTCCCTCTCCTCCCGCTGCAGACCTGGGGCTTATGTTCTGGAGCTGATAATTCAAAGTGAGATGGGATGGTTGATATTTGAAGAAAAAAAAGTTGCTAGTATTTACCACATCCTCCATACCATACCTCAATGCCTTACAGCCTCAGTGTGTGGGAAGACTAGTTAGCACTGGCATTGGATATGAGTGTTACATTTAAAGGTGATGCAAGTTCAGACTTGATTGGTTTTTTTTTGTGTAAAGATAGAGAAGTGTTTCTGTGTACATTTCTGCCATCTGCAGACAGATGAGTGTCTTCATTGCCTTTGTTTGTGTTCCTTTGCTACAGCAATGGGTTCAGTGTTCAGATGGGGAAGAGGAGCAGGTTCTAAAGAAGGAGAAAGGATGTGCTTTTTGCAGAATCAGAGCGCAGATGTGTGCTGTGGGTGTGCTGGATAGCTGCACAAAAAGGGTCGTGTTCTGTGTGGCTGAACTTGCAGCTCTGAAAGGGCACAGACGTGGCAGGGCAGAGATGGGAAATCCTGAGTCCAAGTACCAGGCTTGGCACTGGCCAGCTTCAGGTGGCCTGTACATCCATGAGCCATGTCAGAAAGAACCTCCCTTTCTATCATGAGAAAATAATTCTATGTTAACTTTGCAATTTTTTAAAATTTGAAAGTAAGTGCAGTAAGCCAATGTTTTATTATGAAATGAAGTTTCATTCTGCTTCCTTGCATAGGTTCCTAAAGTGACTCATACTGAATTCTGTCAAGGACGCACCATGAGATGGGCCCTGGCGTGGAGTTTCTACGATGATGTACAAGTACCTGTAAGTAGCTTAATTGTAGTTTGCTGGTGATTATCTGTGCCTCTTTTTTGAGGAAGGGCCTAGTGAGCTCTGACTGCTGTGAAACAAACTGTTCTCCTTCAGACCGGAGCACTGGATGCCCTGGGCTTTATGGAGAGTGGGATTTCTTGACTGGCTGTCAGTCTGTGAGTAGTTGGAACACGTAATTCATAAATTACCTGTGTTTAGGGTGGAAAAAAAAGCCTGTGCAGGAACTTCGTGTGAGTTTCAGTGAAAGCAAGGGTCACTGGTAACATACCTCAAATAGCATATTTTTAACACTACTAAATTGAAAAGTTTGGGGCAAGATTTGGACTTTTATGATTCCCTCTGAGAACTTGATTTTGATTTACTGTATAGATTCTGCTACCAAATAGATATGAACACATCTAGCTTAGACTTGCCTACATGAATGTAAGTGAAGCTTGTTCACCTTAAGGAATGTGGGGCAGTTGCTTTTTTTAGGTCCAGATGTACGTACACTGTAAGATGGGCATAGACAATAACCAACCTTTTGAAGATGCAAGTAAACCTTCAGTGAACTTGACACGAAATCTGGATATTAGCATGTGACCTTTTTTCCTAAGAGCAGCCACACTTTCTCAGCTCACAGAGAGCTATTAGTTTGAAGGAACTAATGAAGCTTTTTGCTTAATGTCTGAAGATAAACTCCCTCTGAAGATCAGGCTAACAGAAGCTGCATGACCCTGGTAGCTTTTTTTAATCTGAAACTCTTTGGAGTGAGATGAAGTGAAGTGAAACTTTGGCCATGTCAATGACTGTTTAGTGGCTTATATTTTATGCTTAACCCTCATGTCGTCTGAGTACAGAAGTCATCCCAGGAATACTGCAGAGCTTCATAACTTTTTTCTTTCTTCTAGTCACCTCCCTCTAAAAGAAGAAAATTGGAAAAACCCCGGAAACCAATTACATTTATGGTCTTGGCTTCTACAGTCAAAGAGTTAGCTGTCAAAGCTACAGCTATGGGCTGGGATGCTGTAGAAGCCATTGCTGTGGTTAGAGCCTGGATAGAGAAGATTCTGACTGACCTGAAGGTACAGTATTAAGTATTACATATTAAAAAACATCCTACTTGAAGGCATAACTGTGAGAGGCTAGTATAAGTTCTGCTGTTTTCTGTAATAGGTTCAGCATAAACGTGTTCCCTGTGGAAAGGATGAAGTTAGCCTGTTTGTGACTGCCATTGAAAACTCCTGGATTCATTTGAGGAGAAAGAAACGAGAGAGAACAAGGCAGTTAAGAGAGCTTCCCCGAGCTTCTGAAGATACTCCGCAAGCAATGGAAGAGGAAAAAAACAGCCAGAAGAGTGTGAACAACAGTTCAGACTGTGAAAACCCCAAGACTGAAGATTCTGAAATGGGGTTTATGGCACCTGATGAGGATGTCCATTTGACTGCAGGTGACGTGCTAACGGAAGAATCTGCTGTTAAAGAAGAACACAGTGAGCATGTGAAGGAGGAGGAGACAGAAGCGAAGCAGGGAGAAACATCACTTGGCAAAGGTTCCAGTAATGCAAAGGAGGAACCTTGCCCTTCAGAGGAAACCAGCGATCTGACAGTTGAAAAAGAACAAAGTTCCAAAGAAACAAGTAGATGTTTTCTCTTTAAGTGTTTAATGAATGTGAAGAAAGAAGGAAATGATGTGTTAGTAGAAATGCACTGGGTTGAAGGACAGAACAGAGACTTGATGAACCAGCTGTGCACATACTTACGGAACCAAATTCTTCGACTGGTTGCTAGTTAGCCCATTTTACTACTTTGGTGAAGCAAGTTAGTCTTCAAATTTTGTAAACTTTTTTTAATGAATTAAAACTTTCAGTTAGTGAAACCTTTTTTTTTTTTCGCCTGGGAAAAAAAAAAAGAGTAAAATGGAGACTGAAGTCCCCTTTAGTATTTTAAATAGCTTTTTGAAAGCTTCAAGGAGTACGTGAAGTATACTTCATTGGACATGAAGTCATAGATTTTGTGCTGCAGTTGTAAAACTACACGTTAAAGTGAAACATGTCTGTGCTGTGAGTGTTTCAAATACCAACAGTGCTTATTCTGGTCTTTTTTTCTGGTGCAATGAATTATATATTGTTACTAAGTAGAAAACCTTACTGGAATATTTTCAATATTTTTTCAGTAGTAATGCCAGAAACGGTTAATCTGCTGTGGGTATTGTTTTCTGCAGCGAGGAGTCTTCAATGGGACTTAAGTATGTCTCTCTTCCCTTTAATGCATTTAACCTTTGGTCTACAGAGTAGCAAGATGGATACATCCTCTCGAGTGTCAGTTCATTAAAATAATTACTCTAGAAAAAAGCGTGGTGTACTTTTTCTGGTGCTTGGGTTTTGAAACACGGAAGAGCCTACTATTGGCATGTGATTTTGTAAACTTTGTTTTGACATCAAAATTGTTAATTGTTGAGCTGCTTGGTTTAGAGTGGATTTAACTATGTTGACTGTTCCAATAGAACATTCCTTGCACAAATTCAGATACGATTGTCAGAAAAGGCAGTGGTATTCTTAAAGGAAATTGCTTCCATTTAATCTTAAGAGATGGCTTTAGTGACAGAAATGAGAGCGTGTGCTCAACTTTGGGGGCCAGAAGTTCCTTTCTTCCTATACAGGACAAAGATGGGTACAGAAGCTTCAGGATGTTATGAAGGAAGACAACTGGCAAGAACGTGGTTGGTTCCACAGCTGTCTTCCTAGTCCTTTTTATCAACAGCAGTTTTCCTGGTGTTTCTGGACCAGTGACCTGTTCCTCTGAGAAGTGAAACTGAGGGGACATGGGTCTTGGGTGCTTCAGAGAGAGTGCGTGTGTGTGTTTTGAGATTAGGAGCACTGGCACGGCTTCACATGAAGTCAGCCTCCCAAGTTGTGATCAGTTTATCTGTAGAGATCTACAGAACAGTTTTTTTTCTGAGTGTGGAATGTGTGTGTGTTACCCAAAATAAAAGATTCATTCCTGATGGACAGAAGGAAATACTGTGTATGTTCATGCTACTGAAACCACTTTGAATGTTCACCCTTAGCGTTCCAGATTTCAGGAAAGACTAGTATTTCTACGGCTGAAATTAAAAGCATTTTATAAGAGCCTTGATTTTCCCCCTCTGCTGTTAACAGTTGTGTATCGTGATTTCTTGGCATTTCTGCAGGTCATGGACAAAGACTTGTGTTTTCTTTTTGTCTCGCTGAAGTTATACAGCACCGCTTCTGGTATTCATGCCACTGGGGAGATGAAACTAGCCCTACTCTTTTATAATCTGAAGAGGTTATTTTGGCTACCCGAGCCATTAAGAACAGAAAGCGAGGCCGTTTGTTCTTTGTGCTGTTCCCTCATTATTGTTTCAGTCTTTCTGCAGGGTTGAAGAAGCCCAGCAAGGCGAGCCGGTGTGCTTGTTTTGCTGAAGCAGACTTTGGTACCTGGGTTTGTTAATGACCTCTGTCCTACACTTGTACAACATGAACAACGTGAATAACGTATACACCAAACGGCTTAGCCAAAGCCAGACGCTTTCACAAAGAAAGCCAGTAGTCAGTGATTGGGATGACTGGTTTAGAAGTTCAAGTGTTGCCTCGGCATTTTATTTAAGACAAATGCTCCGACAGAGGTGAGTGTGGCACAAGGAAAGCTAATCCTGCGTTGGGAGAGA